AAGTCAATTGGGTGTGATGCTCTGATTTCTCTCGGGCGTCCAGTTCACTGACCTTCAGTCAACTATGAAAGTATTCATTTCCATTGATTATAGCAGTCACTTAATACTTAATTATCTAAGGGTAAATAATCAACTTATTAGAAAATGGTTTCTTTGCCTCAGGTTAAATGAATAGTAATGAACCTGGGGTTGATTTGCTCTATCTGGTCTCATGACTTTTTTGTTCTCTTTTGTTGTGGCCCCCCCATCAAAGAAGCAGAAGGGGTCTAGGAGGTTCTAGTCATACCAATGACCAGACAGGAGGTGAGATTAGAGCTCAGTGGATGGAGGGCTGGCAGAGGAGTCCAGAAGACTTAATGCTGGAGGTTGTTCACTTCCTCTCTCTCTATATTGAGAAAACAGAGGCTCAGAGGATTTGGGGCATGCTAAAGGTCACAGAGGCGGTAAAATGGCAACATCTGGCCTAAAAGTGAGGTGCTTGAACTCTCGATAAATACATAGCCTCTTCCATGGCATTTCACGTCCTGCCTTTGTTATTTACTAGAGCTTAGAATCAGGAGGACTTCTAACTATGTGACCCTGGGCAAATCATTTAACCTATATCAGCCTCAGTTTCCTCATCTATAAAATAGGTGATAATACCAGCATCTACTCCCAGGGTTATTGTGAGAATCAGACAAGATTATATTTGTAGAGTGCTCAGCACAGTGCCTGGCACATAGCAGGCGGTAAACAAATGCTTCTTCCCTTCCCTTCCCTCCCCTCTTTGTGTGAACACAGACAAAACCTCTCAGTGCCTCCAGTCAGTTCTCTAAAACTTCAGAAATTATAGATCAGTGGCTGATCTGTATTTCCTACAAATAAGAATTTACAAGTATGGACAAATTCTTTCCCTTCCCTCCTTCTCAAAATGATGATGTCATTCAATAACATATTCCATTTCAGAAAGGAGGCCTTAAAATTTGTACTGAGAGATAAGCATTTACCTTAAAATTCTTTTTATAAAGGACTAATTTATTCTCATCTGCATTTAAAAAAGTACAACCTTGAACTACTTTGTTTCAAGTGAAATAGAGTGTTTGGATTTTTATTTGCTTTCTGTTTTTAAATTATTGAATCATAAGATTTAGAGTTGGAAGTTACCTTAGGGATTATCTCACCTTCATTTTAATGAATTGGTCTTATGAGAAGAGTATTGAAGCCTCAGCTTTTGAATTTCATGATAATTAGGCTTCTCAAAGGGGATGTTGGTACTAGCAAACAATACTGACTTGCTAGCCTTAGGCCCTGGAAGCCTAAAACAACAGCTTAGCAATGCGGAGATATGTTTATCTTTAAAAAAAAAAAACCCAAAAACCTCCCTCTCTCAGAACACCTCAGTTATAGAGAACTGAGGCACACCTGTCTCTGCATATTTGCTTAAAGTGTTTGCCTTGCGTGGTTCCTCTTTAATCTTGAGGTCCTGAGGGACAACCATCTTCTTTAGTGTGAAATTCACCAACTACTAAAATGGTGCAATTCACATCTTGACTACTAATATGGAAGCCAAGGGTCATTAAGTTCTAATCGTCTGTGATCTTAAGGCATCCAATGCCACAATCTTTGAAGACTTAGAATTGAAAATCACAAAGAGAGACACATGTTGGGCATGAACAGGCTGCAGTCTAGTACCAATGAAGAATTGTACGGGAGAAATGTCAACAGAGATGTTGTCAGAGGTACACATGACCAGAAAAGAGAGGAGTCAGTGAGGTAACTAGAGTAAGAAATAACAAAGGGATGATCCACATGCCTCTCTTGAACTTATACAATGTCAAAAGATATCAAGGAAAACCCCAGCATATTAAGAGAACCCATCCAGGAGAATCTATAGAAAGAAATGGGCAACTATCATGGAGAATGTAGAATAATTAGACTCTGAATTACTGAAGGGAATAGGGGCTTCAGTGAGATTCCTTGAAGTGAGAAGTATCCATTGACTCAGATGACCATAATTCCAACTGTTCACTGGTAACACCTTACACTTTTGTCTTGTCCTACTGGAAATATAGGGAGACATGTAGGGAATCTTCTGATGGTCTCAAGTCACCCAAATCCCATCAATTCATACTATAAACTTGTACGTGTGAGAATCCATCTAAATTTTTTTCCCAAATTCTCCCAAAGAAGGATTGACTTTGGATTCCCTTTTTGAGCTGGATACTTGAATTTTGTCCAACTATAGCACTTTAGCAATGACAAAGAAATAAATGAATTTTCCATCATTCTCTGCTACAGGGTCTCACTAGCAGGGATCACTTGTTTTTAATCAAGTAACTGAGAAAAAGAAAGTTACATTCAGTCATTGGAGGGCGGTGAACTTTTAATTCAACTGATCCAACTGATGAAATCCCTCCACTGAAGTCAGATGATACTTATTCTGCAATTTATGGGAGCATTGCCTAGAGCACTAAGCTAAGTGACCGTGCCCAGAATCACCCAACCAGTGTATATCAGAGACAGCATTGGAAGACGGGTCTTCCTGATTCCAGACCAGCTCTCCATCTGCTATACCTCACTGCTTTTTGGCAGTAATAACCACTAGAAATATTTATTGAATATTTCTGTTGTATATTGATAATGATGATGAAAGATGGAACTGGCAAGTGTGTAAGAAGTTAATAATATAAGCTTCTTACACTAAGATTTAAATGAGTAATACAATTCTCAGAAGAAGGAGAAAGAGATGACCCAGAGAAACACAAATAAACAAACAAAAATTAACAAGCCAGGACAGCCCCTCCAGGGCTGATGCCCTGCTAGAACGGTCCCTGTGTTGTCCTCTTTTTCTTCCCTGTTCTATAGAGATCTTTGCTGGTTTTCTCTGGATCACAGACTTCAGTCAATGGCTCAGGACAAAGCTGTTGTGGGAGCCCCAGTGGTCTAAATAAACTACAGGAGGACAATTGGGAGTGGGGGCATCTTGGGTTCACAGAATCCTTAGCAGTTTGTTTCTCTGCAATTCAGCTTAGCTCATTGCCTTGTCTGCTGCAAAGTGATCTAAGAGCAGACCTTGGTTGATAATAGCCTGAAGTAGAATGGGGGAGTAATTGACCAGGACAGGTCCTCTGCCTTATTCTCTAGTGTCTTTATTCTTTGGATGTGTCTCTTGTATGTAACAGATTGTTGGATTTTGTTTTCTTATCCACTCTCTTCTGCTTTATTGACTTGTTTAATACATTCACATTTCAAGTTGGGATTTTTGGCTTGTGTTTTCCTTCCTTTATTTCTTTTGTATTGATTTTCATCCCCTTACACTGTAAAGTCAGTACTTTGTTCCTTGGATTAGGTGTGCTTACACTTCTTGGCTGTTTTCCCCACAGACTCTTCCCAACACCCCCATTCCAATTTGCCCAGACTTTTTACAGAATTTTACCAGCTTTCCTGACTCCAGGTCCATCCCAAGTTCTTTGAATTTCTCTATATTGTTAGTTTCTCTTTCTTTTTCTTTCCTTCTTCCTTCCTTCCTTTTTTCTTTTCTTTCTTCCTTTTCAATTTTTTTCTCTTCCTCCCTTAGCTAGGTGAAGCAGTGGATAGAGCATTTGGCCTAGAATTAGGAACACCTGAGTTCAAATCCAGCCTCAGGCACTTAGTAGCTGTGTGACCCTGGGCAAGTCACTTAACTTCTGTTTGCCTCTGTTTCCTCATCTGAAAAATGGAGGTAAAAATAGCACTCATCTTCCAGGGCTATTCAACTAAATGCAATTCAATAAATATTTATTAATCACCTATTATATGCCAGGCACTGTTCTTGTGAGGCTCAAATTAGATAATTATTTTATCAGGACTCTAAGGGAAAATCAAGAGGGTTGATAGGGACCTGAGAGGCCAGCAAATCTGATCCCCCCTCCCTTCTCTGGTCTGATTGTCCATCAAGAAAATATGCTTTTTGAGCACCTGCTATTGCAAGCCCCGGGCTAGGCACTGAGGATACAAAGGAAGAAATACAACAGCTCCATTCCTTGAGGAAATTACATTCTATTGGGTCCGGCAACATGTACACATTTAAGTATATGCCAAAGAAAGACAAGGTAATTCGAGAGGAGCCTCACGAGCAGCTGGGGGCAGACTCAGCAAAGGTCCAATGGAGGGGCAGTTTTGAGCATGCTGGTCACCAATAATCACATTTTTAAACTTTTTAAGCTTTTGCAAGGCTCTCTGTACACATTAGATCATTGGATCCTCACAACAACCCTAAAAACCAGGTACTACAGGTATTATCATCCCAATTATGTCTCAGAACCTGTAATTTCATAAATAGAGGAAACCAGCAACTTCCTATTGCCAATGAAGATTGGCCATTCTCTCTAACTCAGGCTGTTAGAAAGTTGTCTATTGGCACAAGCAGATTAAATGACTTGCCTTGGGGTCAAATAGCCAGGAGGAGTCTGAGGCAGGATGAACACAAATTGTCCCCATTGCCAGTCCAGTGCTCTATTCACTACTCCAGCTGCTCTATCCTCCATCACCCCATCATCATCAATCAATCACCATCCCCACCACTAGACAGCAGTTATAAAGTGTAGAAGCTTAACTCACATTCCTGGGGCTTTTCAGAAAAATGCCAGTTCAGGCTGCAGGGTTATAGTGGGTCACAGAGACCAAGACAACATGATCAAGAAACCAAAGAGGGAAACTCAGTAGTCTCCTGTGAGCTTCTTGACTGGGTTGACTGGTCATCAATCGGCTTCACCCTGGGAATTTGACAACAGCTATTCTAGTCAGTTCCCTGGGAGATAAAGTGAGAGACAGAAGGGAGGAGAGAGGAGGAAAAGGAAAGAGGAGAGGAGGGAAAGAGACAGAGACAGAGACAGACAGACAGAGACAGAGACAGGCAGACAGAGACAGACACAGACAGAGACATACAGAGAGAAGAAAAGATAGGAAATGAAGAAGGCAGAGTGAGAATTAAGATAAAAAGAGGAGAGTTGGGTAATAGAAGGGAAGAAAAGATCAGGAAGCAGTTCTTAGTACAGATAAATTGGAGTCAGAACAATTCTGCTTACTTTGCTTCACTTTAACATCCCATCCTCTCATTCCTTCCACCCAGCTAGCCCCACCAGCAACCAGTCTTAATTCCCTAAGCTTATGTCAAGGTAGTTATGGGGCTCAGTGTTAAGATGCTGGTCCTGGAGTCAGTACAACATGAGGGAGGGAAGCAGAAAGTGAGGAATAGCAAAAATAAGAGGGGAATTAAGATGGAAATTGCCAAAGATTTCAAGAAGAAAACTCAAAGACTTTAAACATAAGCAGAGAAATCAACAGGGAAAACAGTAACAATGGAAGGAAATGTGATCTCTAGATCTAGTAAATGAGTTTAGGCATTTATGAATAAATGCATCAAAACAAAGGAAAATGATCCAATACTTGAGACAGAGAACTCTGTGGAATATGAGAACATGGAGCCATAAAACACTATACTTGAGTGGTTCAAAAGATAAATGAGAATTATTACAGCAGAATTTATGGCCTGTATAGCAAAAATAATGAGCAAAATAAAAAGAATAGTTCCTAGAACAATTTCCTTTTTGGATCAAATATATTATTTTATTGGTATTATCTCTCAGCGAGGAAACTCCTGCTATAAATGCAGTTCAGCACCTGCTCCACAACTTAGAATCTCAAAGAGTCCATTAGGGTAGAGAAAGGTTAAATGACTTCCCTGGGGTCACACAGATTGTGTATATTAGAGATGAGAACTTCACCCAAATTTCTATTCTTTATGGCAGGCTGCATATGAATTGATTGATTGAGCTTAACATCTGGGGCAAAGAATTCTCTGCCAAAAAGATAAAGCCTACAGCCTATTCTGGCCAAGATCCTAAAAGAACAGACTGAGATGTGGTTATTATCGTTGCTTCTTTCCATTAAGAACTTTTACTGGTCTTGTGGTGAAGTGTGTTAAGAGCCACTGCTTTTTGAAAGATCAGTAGGGAGCCTTGGGGCTTTAAATGGAACGAGCATAGCACAATCCACTCTTTCCATGAGGAAGAAATAGTGCCCCAGCCAAAGGGAGAAGTCGGAAGCTGAGAGTAGCACTACAACCAGGTGCCAGGGGAGCCTCGTCGAGCAGAAACCAGCAGCATCCAACAGTGACTGGGGCCAGAAGGATAGCATCCTGCAGAGATGACAGTCCAGCAGGAAGGATGTCTCCATTAGAGTTGAGATGGAGACTAAAATCAGGGCAGCAGGGTACTAGAATGATGACAGCAAGGGCCCTGTGGCTTCAGAGGCTGAGTTACCTCTCTAATGGTGTACTGGCCTCATGTGTGTGCCCCTCTATGCAGCCCCCAGTGGGTCTACTCTTCCTCCTCATGGTCTGTGTATTTGTAAATGGATACCACAGGTTTACTGGGGGAAAGCTGTACTGCTACCATTCTTACTATACCGTATCACATTGAATTGTGTTCTTTGATTGACAAATAAAGGTAAAAATATCAGTGAGGGCTCATGACTACTAGCTTTGAGTGGGCAGGGGTCTACCTAGAACCCAGGATAGCCCTGTCTAGGGGACTCACTCTTTGAGCTGAGTGGAAACCCTGGATGCTCCAAACACATCAAGCTTATCTTTGCTTGGTAACTTTCCCTGATTATTCCTAAAGCCGTGTTCTGGGTGTAATCAGAAAGAGTCTAAACATCTTCCTTGTGATCACCACTTACATATTTGAGGATGGCTTACACACTAGATTGGGATATTTAACTTTGGGAAAACAGATTTGGAAGCAACCTTCCAGGCCATGGATTCCAACCCCTTTGATTTGCAGGAAAGGAAACTGAGTTCTAGAGAAGACAAGGAACCTCCCGAAAGTCATAGAATAAGCTCTAAGTAGACACCTTTCTAGACGTGCTCTGGCACAAAAGAACTAATTAGAATCCTCCTTTGAAATATTGCACAGGAGTAGGTGCACGTAGAACGCTTTTTTTTTCAGATAAGCTTATCTTCTATATTTAATTTGCATGCACATGCACACACACATGCACAGGCATGAACTCACATACCTTAGCTGGCTCTCTTTTTTTGACATGTCATTTCCTTGGCTAACTGATGCTCCTTTTTTCATAATTTCTGATGTCTACAAAGGAAAAAAACATTTCACAGACCCTGTTTTTAGTGGGATTTTTTTTATGAAACAATAAAAACAAGATAAAGCAACTTGCCCAAGGTCACACAGCTGTGGAGTAGCAAGACCAGGAATCTGTCCCTGCATGTCGGCCCATAGCTCTTCCTTTTACACCATGGAGGAAGGATCTTGAGCTGACAGAGGTGTCTTCCTGTTTGATCATTTCAGGATATTAGCAAAGCAGAACCAGTGAGAGGTGACAGGTGTTAGAAAAGAAGAGAACCATGGTGGCAGAGGAGAGCTCCCACACTTTCCTGGGCTTGGGGTGGATGATTCACAGCCACTTTCATCCCAGCTCCATCTAGGCTCCCACCTCAGGCCACATCCCCATGGATAATAACAGAGAAAGGCTTGGTTCCTGCTTCAGCAATCCAAGGGCCACTTCCCTACCATGCCCTACTGCTCTCTGTTGTCCACTCATAGAAAAGCTTTGTTCTGTAAGACCACTCTTCTCGCCTATGCCAGTAACTAAAACCTCTTTCCATGCGGTCCTGGAGTATGTTCTTTAAAACTCTTTGGGGGGTTGGCCAAAAACCATTCATGTCAACTTGTAGAAACCACAGCTCTCTCACCTCTGGCTTAAAATCATAGCCAAAATCAGAATTATCAAAATGAAACAACATTAAATATCTATAATAAGAACCCAGGAGATACCACTGTCAAGGTAGATCAGTCATGAGTCACGTTAATTCACATATTTCCTTTATCACCTCCAAGCAAAAGAAAGGAGCCAAGGAAAATTAAAATTAAAAAAAAGTAAAATTGAAGAACAGCAATGAAGCAAGAGAAGAAGAGGAAGAAAATCTGATGAGGAAAAAGTGGGGGGAAATAACATTGAAAATGAGGTTTTAATCTATTAAAAAGTTTGGTGGGAAGAAAGCATATGAATCAAAGTCTCAAGAATGAAAAATGAATACTCCATTAGAAATAGCCAGAATCTCCAGAAATGAGAATATAAGAACTCCAAGGACCTTCAAAGTAGAATCAATGTTTAAAAAAATAAAGGAGGGACAGCTAGGTAGCACAGTGGATAGAGCACCGGCCCTGGAGTCAGGAGGACCTGAGTTCAAATCCTGCCTCAGACACATAACACTCACTAGCTGTGTGACTTTGGGCAAGTCATTTAATCCCAGTTGCCCTCACAAAAAAATAAAGGAAAGGATAAAGGGAAAAATGAAAGGGAAGTTTCAAAATAAAAACAGAACTGATGTTTTAAAATTGGCTGGGAAATTGGAGTAAATCAATGGGCACTCTGACAAAGAGAATGGCAGAGACAAATCCTAACTACAGGCAGCAGCAGCAGCAGATTCATTAAGACATTTAATAGCTCTAGTACAATAGCAGCACTGAGGATTAGTCCAGGTCTGTGACTCCTTCAATGTGGAGGAAAAAGCATGGAAACTCCATTCACAGATGTAGATTGCACTTTGTTTATAAAAGTATAAGAAAGCTACCCAAAGCAAAGATTAATCGGATACAAAATAAATCCATGGAAATCATCAGTAATTCTTTATACTGCCAGTAAGTTTTATACAACGGGAGAGGTAGAAGGAGTAAACCCACTTAAAACAAATACAAAATGTATTAAATATTTAGGAGATAACCTACCTCGACCCACAAAACCTATATAAACCTGACAAAGTTTACAGATATTAAGGAAGACCTAGGTAGTTGGAGAGATATTCAATGTTCATGGTTGGTCATGCCAATATACAAAAATAACATTAAGCTATAGATTTAGTGTTATACAAATCAAATTGCCAGGGGCATTCTTATAGAATTCAATAAATAAACTTCAATTTTAAGTGCATTAGAATAGTAACAAATTTTATAGAGAAGAAAGAAAAACTAATTCAAAAGGAAAATGAAAAAAAAAGTAGGAAAGAAGGAGTATTGCTAGGTCTTAAATGATATTACAATGCAGAACATTTAGTATCAACTATCAAAGAAAAATATTAATACTTCTAATGTGCTTTGTTTTTGTGTTCCAGAAACAATTTTGTTGAATTTCTCAGGATCCCATGCCAAGACCACTCCTCTGTTTTTACTCCTCTCTTTTTACTTAAGAGGCACCCTGTCTTCTAGAAGTAAGGCCCAGCAAGCAAGCTGTGTCCTGAGGTTAGCATAACAGCAATCCTTTGGGGCTCTCCTTCTGGATGATCTCAGTCACAGTAAAATCCCAGAATTATTTCACACCAGCACCAGGTGGTCCCTGAGATCGTGCAAGCACCTGCAGCACCTGTGTTCCAGTCATGAAGTCCTGCTATGGATCAAACTTGTCTCATTCTTGCTGTTACCCATCCATTGTCAGGGCAACAGCTCACTGCATAGCCATTGGTATAAGTATTGAGATTTGCCCACTCTAAAGCAGTTCTCCTACTAAAGGGGTCGTGGGCACGTGGGTGTCTAGTTTCACTTCTCCAGTGGAATAAAGAAAACTTTTTGCTTATGACCAGTGTTATCTCTTTGGTTTTATTTTGTTGTGGTTTTTTTTTCCATTTATTTTTAGAGTTAATTGTGGCTTTGATAATCTATGGGACCTCTCTGTTCTGTTTTGTTTTGTTTTTGTTTTTGTTTTTTTAAGTTTCAGAGCTGCTGCAGTGGTTCATTTGTTATCAGGGGTAACAAATTCAAATTACTTTACATTCAAGTCATTAGTTTGGAGAAAGAAATTCCCAAATTGGCAGAGTCCTCCATGCCTTCAGACATGACTCCCTAAAATTTCTAGGAATCTTTTTTTTCATGTGAAAACATTTTTTAAAAACTTTTTGTTTTTAAAATTTTGGGTTACAAATTTTCTCCCTTCCTCCCTCCCCACCCACCCTCATTGAGAAGGCAAGCAACTCAATACAGGTTATACATATGCAGTCATGCAAAACACTTACATAGTAGGTATGTTGTGAAAAATTAAGTATATTTCCCTTAATCCTATCCCACCCCCATTTATTCTATTCTCTCTTTTGACCTTATTCCTCCCTGGAAGTGTTTGCTTCTGGTTACCCCCTACCCCAATCTGCCCTTCTCAACATCATCCTCCTGCTTTCTAGTCCCCCCTCCCATTTTCCTGTAGGGTAAGATAGATTTCCATACCCAATTGAGTGTCTATGTTATTCTCCCCTTAAGCCAAAACTGATGAGAATAAGATTCATTCATTCCCTCTCACCTTCTCTCATTTCTCCTCCACTATAAAAGCCTTTTCTTGTCTGTTTTATATGAGATAATTTACCCCATTCTACCTCTCCCTTTTCCCTCTCCCTGTATAATCCTCTCTCACCCCTTAATTTAATTCTCCAAATATCTTCCCTTCATCTTCAACTCATCCTGTGCTCACTCTCTCTCTCTCTCTCTCTCTCTCTCTCTCTCTCTCTCTCTCTCTCTCTCTCTCTCTCTCTCTCTCTCTCCCTCTCTCTCTCTCTCTCTCTCTCTCTCTCTCTCTCTCTCTCTCTCTTTCTCTCTCTCTCTTTCTCCATATATACATACATACATGTAATTTTTTTTCCCTCCAACTACTCTGATACTGACAAAGGACTCATGAGTTACAAATATCATATTTCCATACAGAATGTAATCAGTTCAACCTTAATAAGTCTCTTATGATTTCTTTTTCCTGTTTACCTCTTCATGCTTCTCTTGAGTCTTGTATTTGAAAGTCAAATTTTCTATCCAGATCTGGTCTTTTCATCAAGATTACTTGAAAGTCCTCTATTTCACTGAATGTCCATTTTTTCCCCTGAAGGATTATGCTCAGTTTTGCTGGGTAGGTTATTCTTGGTTGTATTCCTATCTCCTTTGCCCTCTGGACTATTATATTCCAAGTCCTGTGGTCCCTTAATGTAGAAGCTGCTAAATCTTGTGTTATCTTGATTGTGTTTCCACAATACTTGAATTGTTTCTTTCTGGCTGCTTGTGATATTTTCTCCTTGACCTGGGAACTCTGGAATTTGGCTACCATATTCCTAGGAGTTTTCCTTTGGGGATCTATTTCAGGAGGTGATCGGTGGATTCTTTTATTTCTATTTTGCCCTCTGGTTCTAAAATATCAGGACAGATTTCCTTGATAATTTCTTGAAAGATGATGTCTAGGCTCTTTTTTTGATCATGACTTTCAAATAGTCCAATAATTCTTAAATTCTCCCACCTGGATATATTTTCCAGGTCAGTTGTTTTTCCAATGAGATATTTCACATTGTTTCTATTTTTTTCATTTTTCTGAATTTGTTTTACAGTGCCTTGATTTCTCATAAAGTCACCAGTTTCCAATTGTTCCATTCCAATTTTTAAGGAAGTATTTTCTTCAGTAAGCTTTTGGACTTCCTTTTCCATTTAGCCAGTTTTGCTTTTTAGGGCATTCTTCTCCTCATTGGCTTTTTGGACATCTTTGCCATTTGGGTTAGGCTATTTTTTAAGGTGTTATTTTCTTCAGTATTTTTGGGGTCTCCTTTAGCAAGCTGTTGACTTGTTTTTCATGATTTTCTTGCATTACTATCAGTTTTTCCTCTACTTCTCTTACTTGCTTCTTAAAATCCTTTTTGAGGTCTTCCATGGCCTGGGACCAATTCATATTTTTCTTGGAGGCTTTGGATGTAGGAGCTTTGACTTTATTGTCTTCTTCTGGTTGTATGTTTTGATCTTCTTTGTCACCAAAGTAAGATTCTATGGTCTGACTCTTTTTGCTCTGCTTGCTCATGATCCTTGCCAATAACTTGAGTTATAAACTCTTTGTTAAGGTAGGACTCTGCTTCCAGTGTGGAGAATGTACTGTCCCAAGCTTCAGGGGTTTTGTGAATCTGTTTTCAGAGATACTTCTAAGGGCCGGTAAATTTTCAGTTCTTCCAAAGTGCTCTGAGGTGTTTATTCCTTTCCTGGCCTGTGCTCTGGTCTATAAGTGACCACAAGCATTCTTTTCTGTCTTTTAACTGTGAGGAGGATTTCCTCTCCATTGTCACTATAAGATCCACCATACCAGCACTCCTCCTTGCCCCAGGACTGCCACCCAGAACTGTGACCCAGATCAAAGCATAGGCAAAGCAAGAGAATTCTGCCTTAGCACCAGCAAAGAGAGCCCTGCAATCCCCCTCTGACTAGCCAGTCGATTCCCCCTCAGTCTGTGGGCCAAAAGCTCTGGAGGCAGCTACCACCACAGGACCATGCTCGGGGAATGGGGTTGGGATTGTGACCATGCTTCTGTCTCACCACCATAGAAACAGATTTTTCCTACTGACCTTCTAAGTTGCCTTTGGTGTTCCTGGGTTGAGAAGTCTGGAAACCACCACAGCTGCCTGTGATTCAGTCCTCTGAGGCCTGCTCCAGGTTCGCTGCAGCCTACTCACCCATGCCAAACTGTGTTCCTCTCCCTGGCACAATATACCTTTCAGATCTACCATCCATGTTGTTTCAGGTGGAAAATTTGTTTCACTCTGTCTTTTTGTGGGTTCTGCTGCTTTGGAATTTGTTTAGAACCATTTTTATAGGTATTTAGAGGCGTTTGGGGGAGAGCTCAAGCAAGTCACTGCTTTTACTCCACCATCTTGGCTCTGCTAAAATTTATAGAAATCTTAAATGAGGAAAAATATCTTAAAATACAGCCTGAATTAATAATCCAGAATTGAGCAAACAAGTCATATCCCATTGCTCCTGGACCACTCCCCTTCACTCCCTTCTTTGATAGCTTAATCATTTTGCAGTGAAGAAGGATAAGCCCTAATGCCAATAGCTTGAGGTAGTTGGGGAGATAACACAATTAGAGTTGGTTAAGGGTGCTTAACCCATGTTCCTATGAAAAGCATTTTAACATTTGGCCTATCATTTATTTTTCCAAAGGGCTTGTCCTAACGTTCTAGAAAGGACTTTAAAGAAGATGTTTATTTCTTAATTTTTTCAATTTTATCAAAAAGATGGTTTTTATTATGCTTCCACACACCAAAAAATTATCTCATAATGCACAAAAAATGTAAAACTACATCAGTGAAAGGGATAGAAAGGCAAGATCTAGAAGCAAATACCTGGTACCAGTTTTATGACCAATAATAATAATAATAATAATAATAATAATATTTATGTAGTACCCACTATTTGACAGGCACTGTGCTAAGTTTGTTATAAATATTATCTTATTTGAACCTCACAACAATGCTATAAGTGCTATTATTATTACCACTTAATAGTTGAGGAAACTAAGGCAGACAGGTACAGTGACTTGCCCAAGATCACACAGCTAAGTATCTGAGGCCAGATTTAAGCTCAGGCTTTCCTGACTCCAGGCTCAGCACACTATCCCACTGAGCCATCTAATTGAAGAGAGCAAACTATCCTGTTGAAGAGGATCTTCGTTTGAGAAAGACGAGGAAAACTGAAAAGCAGTTTGGCAGAAGAACAATTAGGACTTATCAGACCGCGCTCCTCAAATCGGCAGATTCAAGAACAGACGTCCACGAGTAGGGAAACAGGCCGGCTTGCTGTTGGGAGGACGTGCTGTTTGGGATCTCCTGGGTAGAATGAGGCACTTGGGCAATCACCCTTTAGAATAGGCAGTTCCAGGGAAGGATTTCAGGACCTGTGAGGGCAAGTCCTCTAGGGCATGGCCTCTGGTCTGGGCAGCAAGGTGGCTAGAGAGAAGATGACCAGGAAGTAACAGGATGTCACTAGATACCACTACTGGGTTTATACCCTGAAGAGGTTGATTCCAGAAATTGTTGCTTTTATATCCGACTTTTCATTATCCCTTTTTGAGGGTTTTCTTGGCAAAGATACTGAAGTGGTTTGCCATTTCCTTCTCTAGCTTTTTTCTTTTTTTACAATGGAGAAAACTGAGGCAAACAGGGTTAAGTGACTTGCCTGGGGTCACACAACTAGTAAGTGTCTGAGGCCAAATTTGAACTCAGGAAGAGACAAGTACTCTATCCACTATACCACCTAGATGCCAATTTCAGCTGTGTGTGTGTATATGTATGTGTGTGTGTACTGAGTGACCCTGAGCAAGTCATTTAATCTCTTTCTGCCTCAGTTTCCTCATCTGCAAAGTGGAAAAAATAATAGCCCTGACCTCCCAAGGTTGCTGTCAGGAGAAAATGAAATATTTGTAAAGCATTTTGCAAACCTTAAATCACCGCATGAATGCT